GACAGGCTCCGAGGACAGGTAGCCCCTGAACACAGCCCCTGTATATCTGTATTTCTCACCCTCTGTTCACTGCGTAAGTGACTCAGCGGAGATGTTAATGCTAAGATATTTTGTATTTCTAATTTTGTGTACTTTCAAAAGTTTCAGGAGAGGCGAGGCCTAGCAGTAATGGAATGTGGGCAGAGAAGCCAGGAAAAGGTGAATGTTTGCACCTTTGTGAGCCCAGGTTGTTCACTGTGTGTCTCATAGGATAACTTCTGTTGCTGGGAAAGCTGGTACACAGGTCTTCAGTTTAATGGATGGGTTTCACAATAATGTTCCTCTCAGACTGGATTGCCACTGGACTTGTCATTTGCTAATTTCTAATGAGCCCTTTTATCACCAAGCTTGGTTAATAAAGACTCCTTAATACATCCTAGACTTGCCTGGCATGATGTCTCTCACACCCACAACAAGGCCCCACTGTCACTCTCAGGCCCCAAGCCGGTACAGGTCTCTATACTCACCCGCCTCTTCCTTCAACAGACATTAGCCCATCCTGCAGTGGGAAGAGAGATGGCCCAAGAAAAATGCAGCTGGGTAGAAGCGCCAGGTGTCCAGGATTGAATAGAGCAGTCTCAGGACAGGAAGTGCACCCAAAAGCCCAGGGGTGAACACTGCTCCCATTTGGGATTGGGTTTGTGGCTTGACATTTCGTCAGCAGAGGCCATCAGCTCTCCCCGTGATTGAGGATGTGAGATCTGGGCAGCAGCATGCAGAAAGGCACCGTTTACCAGGAGGGAGGGAGCTCCATAGCCCTTCCCAGGGCTGAGCTGCAGCCCATACTCCCACCCCAAGCTCATTTGCAAGTCAGATGTGCGGGTGCTGGGAGGAGTCAATGTGCGATTGCATCAGATGCCTGCTGAGTTCATTCAGAACTTCTCAGAGATGCTGTGCTGATACTCGGGGGTGATAAAAATACCACTAATGGCTACAGAGTTGGCTGTGTGCCACACATTGTGCTGCCTTATTGTAATTTTTTTCCCAGCCTCTCCCTCTCTGTAATTCTGACTTTGAAATATGTAAATACATCTTAAAGCAGAAAAAAACAAAATAAGAAAAGGACTGGCACTGCGGCACAACGGGTAAAGCAGCTGCCTGCAACACCTGTATCCTACATGGGCACTGGTTCAAGTCCTGCTGTGCTGCTTCCCAACCAGCTTCCTGCTAAAATTCCTGAGAAGACAGCGGAATATGGCACCAGAGCTGAGAGACCTGGATGGCATTCCAGGTTCCTGGCTTCATGACTGGAGTCCCAGTCATGACTGGAAAAGGCACACTACTTAAAAACAAAACAGAAAACAAAAAAACTAGACAGACTTCAAAAGTGTTTGAACTTTATATGCATATGTGTGTGTGTAAATACATATATATATTCTAAATTTCCATCTGCTTGAAAGGCAGCGTGACAGATGGCTCACTTCCCCAAATGCCCGCATCAGTCGGAGCATCACAGGCAGACCCTGGTGACATAAGCCTCTGTTTCTGCTTATAAGAATCATGATTCAGTCCTGGGCAACCTTGGCCTCCCAAATGAAACATTTCAGCTCTGGATCCTGATCCTAGGCTGCATCAGAAGCTAGACTGCAGGCCCCACTCTGGTCCATATGACATGCCTTCTGGGAGTGTAGATGAAGCCACAGGGAAATGACCCCACCCAGTGCCCTGGGACCACCCTCTGCCGAACAGGTGCCATTCTGCTGGGGAGGACCCGCTGCAGACACAGCATTGGGCAGCCACATGCCTGCCCTCTGCCTCCCTGCTTCCTCGCCATGTTCTGGCTGAGCATACCCATGAAAATGGCATGTTCCAGCTTCCCTGGCAGTGATGAGGCCCTCTTGAGGCTAGCCAGTGGGGTATGAAGATCCAGTGTGCACATCTCAGCCTGTGCCTGGAGGGCAGGCAAGAGGCTCATGGCACTTCACCTGCTCAGTCACTGGCAGGTGTCCATTGAGCCATAAACACCCAGCAGGGGCTAAGAGAGGCAGGGAGGCAGGACAAGACAAGGAGCCCGGTGCCCCATGCAGGAACTGCCACACCAGCCCTGACTGCTTTCTTTCAACAGTGAGAAATAAACTTCCAACCTGTTTAAGCCACAGTCTAGAGGGGTGAGATCTTTGTTACAAGCCACCTAACTCATACGCTACTTCCTACCCTGTCCCTGGTCCTGGGGGCTGGATCCTGTGTAGGGTAGCCTGGGAGGGGAATCCCACAGGGCCATCTGTCTGCCACTGTCCAGACCTCTGCCTGTTGTTAACAAGTGTGGGGACACACCTGCTCCTCTTGTAGCCACAGATACCATGGCAATGTCCTACAGGCAGGTGTTTGGTGCAGTTCTCTGTGTTCCAGCGTGCTTGAGGTGGTCAAGCAATAGAGCAGAAAGCTACCCACACTCCCAGATGCTCCTTCCTACCAGAGGGGCAGGCTCATCACTGGCTGTCACTCACCATCGTATCTGTCCCCTCACTCACCATCCACCACCCCACCATTACCTGGGGGCTTGCAAGGCTGTTGTATGCCAGGGAAGAAGCTAAAATCTGCGGAGGTTGAGCACTACAAGTGGCAGAGCTGGGAGCAGCAGGATGTGTGGCTGCAAAGGGCCCGCTTCTCTATGCTCCTGGGCTGTGCTCTGGATTCAGGTGCTCTCCCAGCTGAGATCCTGTGGGGCAGGTACATGGCAAGCTTGTAAGCCCACGCTTCAGGCAGGGCCCAGGATCTCAGCCTCAAGGGAACCACTCCCATACACTCCTGATCCCATGTGGGCTCGCTCACCCTGGCCCCACAGGTCAGCTGAGGGGCCATAGGTTCAGCAGTCACTGTGGAAGCACATGCTGGGTGTCCTGTCAGCCCCCAGGAACAGGGGGTACATGAGCACTCAGTGCCACCACCCTGGCCAAATGACAGTATTCCCCAGCCCTTCGTGTCCCTCTGACCTGCAGCTGCAGACTGCTCGCACAAAAAGCAGTCCCTCCCACTCAGGTGCTTGCCACTGTAGCCATCCGTGCCTCGCTCCTCTAGAGCACTTTTGCCTGCAGAGGGCACATGCGGACAGGGGCAAAGGACAGAGGTTGTCAACTCCAGTCCTCGCCTCAGGCCTCGCCTGAGCAGCAGCCATCTCCCAAGGTAGCCATAGCAATGACTACTGCCTGCTCAAGTATACAAATCCACATACTAACCACACAGCCACCTTCCTGTCAGACATCTGGGGTACGGGGACCTCCCCTGAAAAACACAAGTTTGTCCAGAAGGCTCTTGCCAGCCCCATGCAGGTTAAGGGGCCACGAGTGGCAGCCATCTAGCATTTACTGAACCTTAGGGGCAGACCAGTCCCTGTCCTCCTCCCCTTCTTGGAGCCATTTCCCTAGTGGCTGCCCAGCACATCTAAACCTCCACTCTGGGACCATGTGGCAGAGAGCTCAAGCACTGTCAGGGAGTTGGGGAGGGTGGAAGAAGCAGAGCAGATGCCCTCACAGCATATGCTGGCAGCTCTGAATCCCACCTCTGCCTGGTCCAGGTTCCTGGCACACCTAGAGTCATTGCACAAGGAGCAAAAAGCATGGTCACTTACCTCGAGTTAGTCCAAGAGGATGGCGGATGCACTGGCCAGCACACAGCAGGTGCACCTGACAGACTGAACGCTAGGCAGGAAGTGCCCAGCAAGGGCCTCAGACAGCCTGCAGAAGACAGATGATCCCTGCAAGACCCACTGGATTCCGAGTGGTTCTCACAGAGGCTGTTGGATTTGCATGACTGATGCAGAGCCCCAGCCCCAGGCACAGTGCTGGGCTCTCTGGGAACCCCTCACTACTGGGCCAGAGCTGCATCCCAAGAGTCCTGGGGTCCCTCCTCTGGAAAGAAAAGCGAGGTTCCCTTGAAGTCTGCCAACACCAATGTAAACCACAGGCTCAGCACCCCAGTTTTGTGGCCTTTTGCTGTCTGAAGGTCCAGAACAAGTCTCGGAAGTAGAACACACACCTGCAAGACCCGCTCAATTTTTTTTCTTTTTTTTATTGGCAAAGTAAATATATTTTTTTATGAAGGCCCAAAGAAAATATACATAATTGTAACATATGTACACCGGCTTTATAGATTTTTTTTTAAATTTCAAATGTACACAAATGCTGATGTTATTAAAAGATAGTTTATGTAGATGTCCCTATGTACAGTTTATTTACATACATTCATAGGATGTGAAATCCACCTGTCAACACAAGCTAGTTCATTTGAGATTAATTTCTAAATGAGATAAGGAATGCATTTCTAAACTGGGGGTTGTGGGGGAAGGAGGCACTAGCTGGACCTTCCATACCCATGCAGCCTGCTTCCAGCTCCTCCCCACACTAGAGGGGGCATCTGGATTTGTCTGGTACTCCACAGAGCCCCAGCCACGCGAGGGGCAGCAGCTTCCAGCTCCCATACATTTAACTCAAGCTCATGCACCCCCACCTCTTTCCCACATGCATACCCCTCAGCCCACCCCATGCCCCTCTGGTGACTGTGTTGAGCCAGGCGTTTTTTGGGGGGGCGCAGCTGCCCTCACACAACAGTGCAGTCCTGCACTTTTGGCCTACTTCCTCCAATCCAGCAAATTTCCCTCTGGTAACCAAACATTTCACAAGTGCACATTTCTGCTTGGCAGAGCAATACGGGAGCTGGATCTGGCCCAGGAGAGAACCCAGTGGGAGAAGGGCCAGCCCCCATCCCCCCCAAAAAAAACTGCCTACAACGGGAAGGCATAAAGGCACCAAGGCTGGCCTTCAGCCCTATGTGCACGCGCATGTGCACCGAAGACACAGCCTCCAGGATCGCGAGGTGTGTGGCTGCAAGTCCTCCCTGGAAAGGCATCAGGTGGCAAGGTGAGAGGGGGATTGTTGGATGCACGCCTCCCGTACTTCGGAAAGGGATGCTGGTAACATTGTCACGTCCCTCTCAAAGAGGGAAATAAATTATTGCTTAAAAAAAAAAAAAGACATAGAACCGTGAGGCCCAGGGTACCAGGCCAGGCCCCGTGGGGCATGCTCAGTTCATCGCACGCACGGAGCGGCTACTCCGTGGGAAGCGATGCACCTTGATGTGCTTGGAGAGGTGGTCGCTCCGCGCGAACTTCTTCTCGCACACAGGACACTGGTAGGGCTTCACACCAGAGTGCGAGCGCCGGTGCCGTGACAGCTCGTCGGAGCGTGAGAACCTGCGGGACAGGGCAGTCAGCGAGGTCCCGCCAGGCCGACACACCCAAGCAGGTGGCGCCCATGCATCTGCAGTCTGCTGGTGTTGGCTGGGCACTTTCGGTTCCTAAGGGATCCAATCACTCTCAGGGAAGTCTGAGTCCCCCAGCTTCTCTCCACAGTTCTAAGAGGCATAAAGTGAAGGCTCCCTGCTGGCACTTGGGTTCCAGGCTCTAGACTGTGGGGCCTGTGGCAGCTGGTTAGCATTCTGGACATGACAGGCTCTCAGAGTCAGGGACTTACCTGGCCCACTTTGCAGTGGGGAGATGGGGTCAGAAGCCGCAGCTGTACCCAGTCACTTAGCCCCCATGGCTCAGAATTCCCCAGAAGGCATCTCTCTAGGGGTCTGGGTAGGGAGGCTGGGTAGAGACCATGGCCTTCCCCAGCCCAGAACCACAGCTGGGCTTGGCTCCTTTGTTACTTCCACTAGACAGGGAAAGGTGGTCCTCAGACTCGAGTCCATCTGACCCTAGGACTCTGCAGCATGCCAGGCCCCCTGAGAAACTGCCGCACAGGTCCCTGTACAAGTGGCTGCCCAGATGGCCTGCAAACAGGTGCTCTGAGGGCGGGTATGAGTCAGAGTGGTAGCAAAGTGCCCAGATAGCTGTGATGGACCTCATGGTTTGAGGTTCTTCCTTCTTTGATCCTTGTCCTGATAGCAAGATTCCCCCTTCCCTCGTCCCAGCCTATCTAGCTACCTCACCCAACTACACACACCCATGCCTCCTCCCTGTGTACCACCAACACTGCCCATCCCTGATTCTTACCATAGGACATTCGCACATGCTCTCTCCTACCCATTCCCCAGAGCTCAGCTTAAACATCACTTGCTCAGGAGAGTCCTATAGAACTACAACCCATCCCAGGCATTAGGCATGTCTCTTTCCTTGTCCTTGTCATCACTTTAAGTTGAAATTGGTTCCAGCTTTCTGATGACTGTCAATGTGTCCCATGAGGCCTCATGGGTGCTCAGCCCTGGGTGTAGGATGTGCTAGAGAATCAGTGAGTGCAAGGAAATACAATAGCAGATATAGCAGGCATCCCTAGAGCAACCGAGAGCTCTCCTGCAGCAGGTCCTCCCAGGGCACGCACACATGCACAGTTGTGCACACATATGCATGTACAAGTGCTGACACACACCTATACAGGTACTATCACACACACACAGACACCCACGCATGCTCAGAAGCACCAGGCCTGACGCCTGCTCTCAGATCTGTGGCCACAAGGTAAGGAGGGGTGAAGCAGCACCCCAGAACAGCAGTCCCCAACTCAGCCCAAGGGTAGGGGCTGCTGATCCCCTCTGCCCTGTTCCTGTGGGTGGAGGCCTTGACCCAGAGCCTGGGGAGAGAAGGGGAACCCAACAGCAGTTCCCGCTGCAGCCTTCCTGGTCCTGCCCACCCTGGCAGCAACAAATGCCTGACCCCTCCCCCCACCTTGCCGGGCTATATATGTCACCGGAGCCCTATGCCCTGGCACTCAAGCCCCAGCCTGTTTCCCAGGCTAGGGCCACCTGCCCCCAGCTACAGTGCATATACAGCTGAGCCAGGACAGAGTGGGGGTGGGGAGGGAGGGAGGGTGCGGCAGGGAGATGGGCACAGGTATAGAAAAAAGAGGTCGAGCCTTCCTTGTCCGGGTGCCAGCTCAGCCCCGCATGCCTGCCGAGAACATGGCAAAATCTCAGTCACACAGCATGCCCGAAGGTCCCCACCCGGCCAGGTCCCTGTGTGCTTCTCCACAAACAGGTCTACCTCAGCCAGCCACAACCCCAAGGTTTCCGCCTGTCCTCCAGGCCTGTCTCAGAGTCCAAAAGCAGTGACGTGGCGCTGTAACCACCCTACGGCCATAGCGACATTGCAGGCAGGCCAGGAAGTTGAGAAAGAGCCAGGCTGGTCCTCACCTGTCCTCCACAGCCCCTAGTCACGACCCCAGGATATGCTGGTATCCCCTGGGAAAAGGGCCCTTAGGTGGCCCCAACTGCACCCCTGTGTACCATAGGGGATTCAGTGGGCACCTCTGCAGGCAGGAAGCTCTGTTACGGATTTACCAGGTAGGCTGGGCTGGTGGCCAAGCTTGCTGGACCTTAGTATCCCCACCTGGAGAGAAGCAGAATGATGATCCCCCTTGCAGGTGACTGCAAGGACTGCAAAGGGCAGCAAGTAAGGAAGGACCTGGGAGTGACACTCAGCTTGCAGAGCTGCTGAGGAACTGGGAGCTCTCATGACCTGCAAACAGCCTAACACGTAGCCCAGGTGAAGTCCCTGCTTGTGCAGGTTCACACTGCCAGCTTGCAAGGTGCCCTGGTGACTCAAGAGCCTCCTGTAACATCAGCACCTCTATGTAAATGTGTCCCTTCCTTGAGACACCAACCCTACAGCCAGTGGGAAGTTGTTACGGTAGTCATAAGGGTTGCAGTAGGGACAGTGCTCCCTGCATTTGTGCAGTGTCCGACCTGCCTAACTGCTGGTAGTCTCAGCTTTTGCTAAGGATGTGGTCAAAAAATGCCTCATCACGTACAGGGAACGGTGGAAGCAGGGCTCAAAGAGCATAGGCTTGGAGCCAGGCCACCTAGGTTGCCTGCTGTCCCTGCCACCTGCAGCTCCTGTGACCTCAGATCTGCAGCTTCCATGCCCTGGACCTAGCATGCCCTCTGCACTTGACAGCAGTGCCTGTTGCTGATCTTCCTGCATCATGCCTCTGGGCCATTCCAGGACAGGACGTTCAGTCATGAGAACAAAGGAGACCTGTGTCTTGTAAGGAAGCTTCCTAGAAGGCAGGCAAACGCACTTCCCGGACTGTCAGGTCAGTCCAGGTTAGGCCAGCAAAGCAGGGATGGGGAGTCTGGGTCCAAGACAAAGGCAGTAGGAAGTGGGGGGCTGAGAACCTGGGCCCCTAGGAGAGGATGAACAGAGGCCCTGAGGTGAGGGAGGTCCCTCATGGAATGTGCATGCCAGGCACAGCCACAGTATGAAGGGGAAGCCCTCCCACCCCTGAAGCAAGTTATTCCACCCCTTGCCAACACACACACAGGTGGGCAGGGATAGCAGGAGGCCCCAGGTAGATTCCCAGTCCAGCCAGTGTTTGCTGTGTGACCGTGGAGGGCTTGGTTAACCACGCTGCGCATCAGATGCCTCTGACATGAGGGGAGCACCTGGAGCCGGCCTACGGAGCTTCCATGAGCATAGAGAGGCAGACTCTGCAGATGAGCCCCAAGTCCAGACAGCATTTAGAGGTCCCAAGGACACTTATTGACCAGCATAGCCTCTGCAGGTGATGGGACATTTAGAGGCCAGTGGTATGTCAATGAGAGCTGATGGCAGTTCCCCAGCACATGGTAACCCAACCTACTCACCATCATTTTTCCTGTCTGGACCAAGCTGCCTCCAAAGCTAGGCTCATCCTCCCCCTGGGGCTGTGGGACCCTCTCTTCCTCTGATAAGTGAGTGAAAACAATGTGAAAGAGAAACACAGCATTGGGGAGGCATGCCTGGGGGTGCAGGATGGCAGCCCTGGGCTTGTCCTTGTACCCACAAAGATACAGCCCTTCTGGGAAGTAGGGGTCCTTAGCTCCTGTACCATAGATGACTCCATAGAGGCCAAGCCTATCATGTGAGTCCTGGGCAAGGAGACCTGTGCCAAGACTCCCTACCAGAAAGCTGAAGCCCCTCTACACCTCCTGCTTTGGGGAGCACTGTCCCTCCCACAGTCGCTGGGTGGAGGGTGCTGTCTGCGGTCTGGCAAAGCTGACAGCTCGGAGGAGCGGACACCTTAACCAGGCCCATTCTCTCCCCTGTAGCCTGCCCATCCATATCACTGTGCAGGAGCATTAGCTGGGAGATGATTCCTGCAAAGGCAGCTATCGTGTCCCAGGGAAAGTGCTGCCTGCCAAGTAGCTGCCCAACACCTGCACAGTCCCTGCTTGTCTCCACTGAAGAACACACAGGAATCCCTGCAAGTTGCCCTGGCGCCCAGTGCTGGAGCTCGCTGCATGCCAAGCCAGCATTCTGGTCCTCTACTCTACAGCTGAGGAAACTGAGGTCCCTCAGCAGGCAATGCCCAGGGATGCTCAGGGACCTAGGGGTGGGCTCGAGCCCAGTGCCCCCTACTGCCTCCTCCATGCTCCCTCCTCTAACAATTAAGGGCGCTTTTGGGTGCCTCCCTCGATCTCTCGTGTCTACCACCCATCCATGAGGTGCGCCCACCACTGTGGCCAGCCTCATGAACAGGCTGGCACCCAGCACCCATAGAACAGTTCAAGGGGACACCAAGGGATCTTATGCCCATGGCAATGAGGTGGGAGCTGGGTGCCAAGCAGTGCTGTTCTTGTGCAGCTAAGATTTCCCACGCCCAAGATGCCACTTTAAGAAAAGCCCTTTCTCTGGCCCACTCCATGAAAAAGGGATGTCTGTGCTGCACCTCCATTCCCCAAGCAGTTTCCTATCCCTGGTGCTACCTCAGCCAGCCAGCATCCCTACCACAGGCCAGCCCACACAGCTCTCAGAACCAGGGCCCAATTGAGGAAACAGAAGCCCCAAACAGCTCTTGGTGTGCCATATTCACATATGCACACACAGTCAGACATAAGGTGTGTAAACAGGTGGGGTCACATGGTACATATAGGAAGCAGGAGGTGTGTGTGCGCGCGCACACACACACACACACGCTCACACAGCTATGGGCCTGCAGGTTCATCTGTCTACACCCTCCACACATACACACAGTCACACGTGCAGTGGTAGCTATGGCAGCAAACAGCAGGAACATGTTGGTGCTACCTGTGTTCTTCCAAGAGATCGCTGTGGGATGGGGATCCTAAACGCAGGACAGCCTCACTGTGGCACCCTGGGCAGGGGAGCTCACGGCAGGCTGCCTGTATCCCAGAGAAGGATGCCCAAGGACAGCAAGCAGTCCCCAGAGCCCAAGCAAGCTTGGCCAGCCAAGGGTTGGGTTTGTCTGGGCAAGACCCCCACATCCTGAAAGCTTGGCTTCCCCATCAAGCCACAGAGCAGACAGGAATTCTAGTGGACTTGGCCACCTTCTGCTGGTGCCTAAGTACGTCTCCTTGGCTGGCCTTTGTAGCCTCTCCAAAGATGAACTGAGTCCAGGCCCAATGGACATGCTCGAAGACTCCTGGAAATGAAGCTCTTCCCAGCATCTGGGCATACAGCCTTTTCGGGATGGGATCTCCCTGATCCAACCCCCTTTTTAAGGGCAGTGAGCAGGCCAAGTTCCTTGCCTGATGGGAGCTCCTCAGCCACTTATACAGAAGTGGGAATGAGGGTGGTACTTACCCCATGGGCCTGGCCTGCTGCCCTGCCCCTCCATCATCCTCAGCTGGCCCTGTAAGCACCCTCCCCTGTGGCTGGGCCTCAACCCTCACCCTGTCCTGGGCTACCTACCTAGTGGGCAGCACAAGCTGCTATGAGCCTTACCTGTTCATTATAGAACTGGAGACCAGTTGACTCCTAGCTTCAGTCACCAGCAGGGACAAAGACGTCCCTGGGCAGCTGTGCCAGCTCTGGCCCTGATTCCTTAACCCCAAACCTGTAACCCTTGCTCCCCTTTCCATTCAGCTAGGTTGAACAGTGGTGGCAATGGCCTTGCATGTACACCCAAGCTAGCGGATGAGGGCAGGACCTTGCTTGCTGCCCAGGCCTGTCCCCCATCATACTGACCTCCAGCCGCAGCCCGGCCAGGTGCAGGCAAAGGGCTTCTCGCCCGTGTGCCGCCGCAGGTGGGCCTTGAGGTGGCTGCTTTTGGTGTACATCTTGCTGCACCCCGGGAAAGTACATTTGTGCATTTTGATGAGTTCTGCTGCTGGGTTCTTGGGGAACTTCTGACCCACGAGGAGGCCAGCCGGTCCAGGTCCCAGAGCTCCTGACCCCATGGGCTTGGCAGCAATGGGCACAGGGGCAATACGCACAAACTTTGAGGGCAGATTCAAGTTGGAAGAGGGCACCACCTGTGGCACCAGTGCGAAGGTCTGACCCTGGATGTTGACCAGGAGCTGGGCGACCTTGACGCTCTCCGGGGGTTGGCTGGGGGAGGCAGGCCCCATACCCGATTCTTGTTTCACAGGCACGGGCTGGATCTGCAGGAGCACCGGAACGGGGCCATCTGACGCAGGCCCCGCGCCTGGGCTCTGGGCGTTACCTACAGCGGCAGCACCTGGCGGAGGAGTAGCACGCTCTGTCCCGCCAGAGCCCGAATGGATGGGGTTCCTGTGTGTCCCAGCGGCTGAGAGCTGCCCGCAGGCTTCTGCATCCTTGCTACCGCTTTCAGCGACCTCCTTGGCTCCCGGCTCCATGTTCTCCTCCAGGAATTCTTCAATCTCCTCCAGAGTGGGCTGGAAGGGCCTCGGGACGTCATCAGGGTCACCCACAGGAAACTCAGGGAAGCAGAAGTGTTCGCCCTTCCCAGGCGCTGGGGCCCTGCGCCAGGAACCCCAGGCCATGGAGCCACTGCCGGCTCCCAAGTTGCCACCACTGCTGCCGCCACCCAGGGTGGCCTGGGACAACAGGAAATCCAAAATACTGTCCTGACCCTCAGTGCCCAGGCCTCCACTGTAACAGGAGCAGAGGGCTTGAGAGTCCGGGCTGGCACAGGAGCAGGGGCTGGAGGCATCACTGTCGTCTTCTGAGAGGGGCGAAGGTAGCATGTGGTATGCCCTCCGGCTGGCCAGCCTGTCACCCAGGTAACCAACTGGGCACTTCGGAGACGAGAAGTTCTCGTCCACTGGAAGCAAGTGGTCCACCATGCTGGCCGGGCCGTGCTGGTGGTGGCTGCACAGAGAAGGGACAAGGGAGGCCTGGTCAGCGGCTGGCACGGTCACCTGGCGCCTCATGGACCCACAGCCCCCACCAAGCCTTCCCCCAAACCGTCTGTGGCCAAAGGCCTGGATCCTGCCTCCATCCCACGGGAGAGCTGAGCCTGCAAGAGTGTGTTCTGCAATTGCACCACCTGTTTGCAAAAGAGCCCTCTCCAGGCCCATTGCACAACACAGGGTACTTGTGGTGTCAAACAGATTTTCCAGAATGATCTTGGAAGAGTGTGTGTGTGTGCAAATGATGCTGCCTGCTGTGTGTGTGCCTGAGTGTGGCAGGGGACATGGCTCCTGAAGTCCAGAGAAGCAGAAGTGCCTGGATCCCTGCTTCTCTGAGGATACCCCAGCCCCTCACTACCCCCACTCAGGCCTGTTGAGTCACAGAAGCAGGTAGGAGAAGAGCCATTTGTCCTCTGACCCCTGCACTATAGGGTCAGATTGAGCAAATACTAGTCCAGGCTGTCGGTGATACTTTAATTTCAGATTTTAAATTGTGTAGCACTCTTCACAGGTGTAGGAGAGGGGACAGGCTTAATGCTAGCAGCTTATTTTCACCTACGATCCAAACTGAGCTGCTTGGCCTGTGTTTCATTTAGCATTCATGGTCTGGAGGCCAAAACCTCAGAGAGCAGTAAGCGTGCCCCCTTTGTGGGCTATTTTCCCAGCAAGAGGGGAGACAGGGGGAGCCACAGAGGCCCAGGGGGTTCTCAGTACAGTGGAACAGAGGAGCTTGCACTAGACCCAAGTTCCCTCGGCCACGTCCAAAGCTAAGCCGCTCTGCAGCTCGCGCGGCTGCTCTACCGGCCCAGGACACTCACCACTTGGCAAGATCCAGCTAGCGCCTGTTCCTCTGACAGCATGGCCATGATGCTGCTGGGTGCCCAGTGCCCACTGTGACACCTGGTGCCTGACAGGGGCTCAAAGGACACTAAGAGGGTGGCAGGAGAAGGGTACCAGAGGCCTAGCCATTTCCTGTGTCAGAGGAGAGTCAACAGTATTTGGCTGTGGCAGGGCCGCCTCTCTGGACCTTGGTCCCTGCCACAGCAGGTAGGTCAGCTGTTTATCGGGGTTGACATCTGAAGCCAGCTTCCCCCCCAACCCCCGTTCCCTGTCATCTCAGGGACCACTCCAAGGGCCACACACCCAGTACTGCCCAAGAGAAATCAGGCCCCACTCTCAGCTGTGCCCTGGGGCAAGTCCTTGCTCTCCCCAAACCTCAGTTTCCCCATCTGTCTGGCAGATCGCAAGACAACTGGCCTCCATCCCAACTAACCCACCAAGCTTCAGGCAAGACTTGTGCCCCAGGGCAGTTTTGCCAGAAGGTCCTTAGGATTTTTTTTTAATTAAAAACAAAACAAAAACACTTGCCTAAGGGTTTAAAACTGGGCATGCTTTCCAAGGCAGGCACCATTCACTAACTCGGATGCCGGAAGACCAAACCCGTGGTTCCGCTTGGCTGGGTACCCTCAGGCGGGTGGTACAATGTGTGTGACTCTCTCTGGACACCAAGGTTCCACCATCAGGCAGTTCCCAGGGCTCTGCCACACACACAGCACCCATACAGCCCAGGCAGTGGATCTGCCCCTCTGCCTCTCCAGGCTTTCCTGGACCCAGAGCTGTCCTATAGCCCAGCCTGCTGGGAAACACCAGCGACCCTCAGGAAGGTAGTATTTAACATTTACTGTTTACTTTCTAAGTGCGACCATGGTATTGAGGTTAGGTTTTTGTTTTTTTTTTTAAGCTATATATTGAGATACAGATAAAATAGAAAAAGCAGCAGCAGAATTAGGCAGGGGAAAGACAGAGAACGAAGTGAACCCCAAAAGCTTTGCAAAGAACCCAGCCACCCCCACAGAAGGCCAGCACCTGAATCTGCTCCCCTCCCACCCCCATCCTGACCTCCAACTCCTGTCCACTTCCTCCCATTACCCCTCGGCACTTAGGAGGGGGCCCATAGCTTACACTTCAGTTCAGGGATCATTCTGTCCCATAAGGACCCCACGTGGCAGTCTTCCTCACAGGCTCCACGTGCAAACTGCATAGCGCTGTCCACACACACACACACACACACACACACACGCTCTCCTGTCTACAACCCCACCAGAATACAAACTGTACTGACCGTTCAGTCCCCGGCCCTGCTCCAGACTCTAAAACTGCGCCGGGCAGACTTTGCGCAATGAGTGAACTTGCGCCCTGGGGAGATCAGGAGGGGAGTCAGGCACTCAGGAAAAAAGGACTCGTGGCAGAGTGGGCGTCCTCATGGAGGGGCCACACCAAGGTGCTGCCAGCCCTAGAGCAAGAACATGCGTGAGGGATGGAAGCCGGCTGGCAGCTAAAAAACAGCAGCACGTGGCGCGGCCAGAGGCGCAGGCTGCGCGCAGGGGGAGGGGACGCGCTGTTCCGGGCACCGTCCCTGGCCGGCCGCTGGACTCCGCCTCCCCCCCCCCCACCGGCCCGGCCAGGCCTGCTGTTTATCCTCCCGGGGACACAGCGGCTGCAGGAACAACATGTAATTGATAACAAGCCCAGCGCCGGCCAAGGGCTTGCCATTGGGTCAGCGTGCAAATCACGGGGGTGGCGGTGGGGGCCGCCCTTCAAAATAAGAGTCTCCGCTCCTGCCCGGCCCCGCAGGCCCCAAAGTTGCTGAGTTCTGGTGTCCTGGCACCTGTAGGGCATTGGGAGCTCCCCAAGGGCCTGGGGTCCAGGGGAGAGAGGAGATTTGAGAGGCACAGCCATGAGGTTTTGGGGGAGGATATTTGTCACTTCTGAGGCTATGGGGTAGAAGCAGCCCCCAGGCTCTCTAGCAGAAGGATTTCCAATGGTAACCCCACATTGGGGCGAAAAGTGAGGGTCCTGGGATTCAGTGCACGGGGGATGGGGGTGGGAGGGGTATTGGTCCCGGGGTCCTTTCTGGGACTGAGTGTGAAGGTTGGGGCGTGGTGCTCACGGAGCTCCCCAAGGTTCCTGCGAAGAGTGCACGGCGACAACGCGTGAGTGCCCGAAGCAGTGTGGACTGCGTGGTGCCCAGAAGGCTCAGGGGATGGGATCGGACCCTCGGTGGAGTCCAGGAGCACTGCCCGCTGGGCACAGTGCCCGGGGCTCGTGCCCCCTCCCCCGTCCCCCATTGCAGTGACCGACAGTAACCCCTCCGCCTTCCCCCCTGCCCCCACCCCGCCACCTCGGACCAGCCAGCGCGTCCTCCGCCCGCTCCTTTGCCAGGCCCGGGCCGAACGCCCGCCATATGGGAGCGCCGGCCCGGAGAGGAGCGCAGCCGCCACGCGCGGCCGGGCGTCCAGGCTGCCGCGTGGACCTGAGCGGGGCAAATGACCGGGAAGCAGCTGGAGGGCCTCCTTCCCATGGACCTCCCCTCGGACCCCGCTACTTCACCCCCGCGGGTCCGACACTTTGCCCGGCACCCGCACAGAGCCTCCTCGGACAGCAGCGCTAGTGCCAGGCCGCGCGCTCCGAGCCCGGCCAGTGCCCCTGCCGGCGCGTCCCCGGTCACCCACCGCGACCCCGGTCACCCACCGCCGCGCGCCTTTCCCACCTGAACTTGGCGCAAGCCCGGCCGGTGGCCAGGCCCCGGCGGTCCTGCGGCCCGGCGGGCTGCGCTGTGCTGGGGGGTGGCAGCCCGGGTCCGGAGGCGGCGGCGGCCGCGGGCCAAGCCGCGCGGCTCCTGCGCTCGCTCGCTGGCTCGTCCACTGGCTCGCTCGCCCACTGGCCCGCGGGTCGCTGCGGCCGAGCACTCGCCCGCACGCCCGCCCCGGCGCTCTCGGCGCTCACTCCGGGCGCCTCACGTGACGCCGCGGGCGCCGCGAAGGCTCGCAGGAGGCTCGGCCCCGGGCGCGCGCCCCATTGGCCAGCGCCGCGCGTCACGCGCCCCGCCCCGCCCCGGCCCCACCCCCGGCCGGCGCTCCAGGTCCAGCGCTGCTCGCGAGCTGCGCTGCAGGGACCTGGGCTTTGCCGGGACGGACACCAGCGCGGCGGATGGACGGCCTGAGTCCCAGCCCCGAAGTACGGTTCGGCCCGCGTGCCTCTCTCCAGCCCTGGCGCGGTAAGACTGCAGGGTCCCCCGAGGAATGCCCTCGCCAGGGTCAGCGTCTTGGGACATGACTGTATTTGGCCCGGCCTGGCGCTAACAGCTCGCGCTTCTGGCACGGCCACCCCACCGCATCCCCGGGGGAGCTCTGGAGAGCTTTCGCTGGTCCCATCTCCAACTAAGGACGCCCTGTCCGTTGTCAGGCGGGTGCGGGCTGGCTGGCCCAGAGTTGGCGCTAGAGACTGGGCGCCGTGGGGACGGTCAGTCCCTGGACAGCTGTGAGGCTCAGGCACCCCTGGACCCCCGGGGGTTCCTCCTCCTCTTCCTGCGCTCCCTTCTTTGCCCTCCCAACTAGGGCGCTTCCCGCTGCTGCAGCAGAAACATTCACAGGCAGAATTCACAAGGGTGGTGACCTGAGCACCAGGTGGGTGTTGGGAATACAGCTGGCATGGTCACCAGGATCGGAAGTTCAAGTCCTCCCCTTGAGCCACTAGGCCACCGCGCTGGGCCTCATTTTTCTAAGACACAGATCTGCAAGGTTGTGGCTGCCGACTGGTCTCTGTGCAGGCCCCCCGTCTGCTCAGTTCGCAGCACGTCCACACTACCCTGCCTGCCCTCCATCTTTATCTCTCCCTCCCCCGCCCCCATGTGCTCTCTAGCCCAGGGCCTCTGACCTGATGGGCGAGAGCCACAGCCATGGGTCAGAAGCAGCTTGGAAAGAAAGACCCATCTGTCCTTGGTAGCTGCTGTGACACCGAGTCAGACTGTCTTCTCGCAGCTCTAACACCTGTACTACTCTCGCCTGCCTCACCCAGGTGCGAAAGCCCAGGTTCCCAGCAATCTTTCATGTGTACTGGATGGAAACCCATACCACAAGTCTCACCTCCTTCTT